CCCAAATAGAACAGAATCCCCTCACAAAAAAAAACCCAAAAGGGCACCCCTGCGTGTCGGAAACCCCTTGGAAGGTCTCAAGATCATGAGAAGCTTCTCCTCGCGCGTCGGGCTCAAGATCAGCCGCCCAACGCCCTCTGGAAGAGCCTGCAGCATGCTGCCAGTTTCCAAAAACAATTCTAGCTTTCCCCGGCATTTTATACCCCAAGTGGGGGTTTACGAAGTCATCCTAAAGTTTTAAGCAGGGACGCTCCAAACGTGCTACCTTGGGAGAAGCTGTAGCGCTCGTGGGTACACTGGAGGGCTGTAAGGGGTCCCATAAGCCCTTCGAAAGCCATCATGCGGTGGTTTCCGCCACTAGGGGGTACTTTATTGGACCTTATTGGGTTTAGGGTTTAGGGATTGGGGTCCTTGTTATAAGGGAATCCTACTATTTTGGGGGGTCTGTATTCGGGCTCCCCATATTTTCGTCAACACCCATGTGAGCGGAGCACAATGCCTCGGACACGAAGGCCACGTCCCCACCTGGGCAGCTGAGACACCCCAGAGGATGCCACTAAACCCTAAACCCTAAACCCTAAACCCTAAACCCTAAACCCTGAGAGCCCTAAGAGCCCTAAGAGCCCTAAGAGCCCTAAGAGCCCTAAGAGCCCTAAGAGCCCTAAAAGCCCTAAACCGCAAACCGTACGGAATCTGCCATCCTCTAAACCCTGTAAACCCTACTCCAGGAACCCTCAACCGAAACCCTAAACCCTAAACCCTAAACCGTAAACCCTAAACCCTGAACCCTGAACCCTGAACCCTGAACCCTGAACTCGAAACCTAAACTTGGGATGTTCCCCCTTATACTAACAGTCCTTAAAAGGGATTCTAGTACCCCGGTACCCCCTACTCTAATCCCTACTAAGGACTGTTAGTGACACCCCCAACCCTAAACCCCAAACCCTAAACCCATAATCCCTCAACAGACCCCAAACGCCGCTGAACGCGGTGGACGCCTGCGATGGCTTCGGCCAGTTGCTCCGAGGTGAGCTTCCCACCCTGGGCGTCGCAGAGAGTTTAGGGTTTAGGGTTAGGGTTTAGGGTTTAGCTTTTAGGGTTTAGGGTTTAGGGTTTTGGGGTTTAAGGTTTAGGGTTTAGGGTTGTTCCCCCTCATATCAACAGTCCTTAATCGGGAGTCTAGTACCCCCTACTATAGTCCTATCAAGGACTGTTAGCATAAGGGGGAACATCCCAAACCATTTGCTTACGAACCAAAAAGAAAATACAAGACCATAGTCCCCTTATGAGGAAGCATATTTCTTTCTTTTTTGGGTTCCCATAAGCAAGCAGTAGGACAGCTTATATTTCTATTTTGAGGGGTTCGTAAGCAAATAGTCGCCCTAAACCCTAAACCCTAAACCCTAAACCCTGAACCCTGAACCCTGAACCGGCTTTTAACGGGTTTCAGGGCGACAGTGGCGGGCGGATCATGGACAGCGCAGCCTTGGCTACGACTTGCTTAAGAATCTCCCCTCAAAAAACATTCTTCCTCTTAAGCGTAACTGAGAGATCATGTTTTTTTGTTTTTTTGGGGGGGGGGGGGGATTCGTAAGGATTTGCCCACCTCCCCCCCCCCCCTAGTAGGGTACTCTAGGGATGCTCATCCTTTTATGTTTTCGGAATATTCTTCCTTATAAGGGTAAGGATTGGATGTCTTTTTTCCCCATTTTGGGGGTTCTCAAGCATTTGGGGATTTCCGAGAATAGGGGTACCCCTTATCTACCCCAACATACTATCTAATCCTTTTAAAGGAACCCCCAAAAGGGTACCCTCTATTCCTAAACCCAAAACCCAAAACCCAAAACCCTAAACCCTAAGTAGTTGAACAATCCTTCACACTCTCGAACTGGCGCCTTCCCAGCCGGTGCTTCGGCGACGTAGACCTGCTGCAGAGGACGCTCCAGAAGAAACTCCTGGAATGCGGGGGGCGCCAGCTGAGCAGAATGTGTTTCTGCTAGGGTTTAGGGTTTAGGGTTTAGGGTTTAGGGTTTAGGGTTTAGGGTTTGGGGTTTGGGGTTTGGGGTTTGGGGTTTGGGGTTTGGGGTTTGGGGTTTGGGGTTTGGGGTTTGGGGTTGAGGGTTTGGGGTTTGGGGTTTACTTTGCCCGGAGTGTACTCCGAGAGGGGATGAAAACAAAAAGGCACTGGTTTAGGGTTTAGGGTTTAGGGTTTAGGGTTTAGGGTTTGGGGTTTAGGGTTTAGGGTTTAGGGTTTAGGGTTTAGGGTTTAGGGTTTAGGGTTTAGGGAAGAAGGCAAGAGGAAGCAGTGGTTCGAGCTCCTCTTCTCCCGGCTGCGGTACGACCACCAGGCCCAGCATGTCCTGAAAGCTTTGGGGCTTAGGGTTCAGGGTTCAGGGTTTGGGGTTTAGGGTTGGGGCTAGGGTTGATAGAGTTTAAGGCGTCAGCTCATGAACGCATCGATGGGAGCTCAGCCACAGCCACAAACGCTACCCCACCCTAAACCCTAAACCCTAAACCCTAAACCCTAAACCCTAAACCCTAAACCCTAAACCCTAAACCGGGGTCTTCTAGGTCTCCAAGAGTTTTCGGGCACCAAAAAGGGCCCAGAATTGAGCCAACCGTGCCAGCACGAGCCACATTCCAGAGAGCCGGAAGCCCCCTCAAAGAGATAGGGGTTTAGGGTTTAGGGTTTAGGGTTTAGGGTTTAGGGTTTAGGGTTTAGGGTTTCGGGTTTAGGGTGTAGGGTGTAGGGGGTAGGAAACCCAAGAAACCCAAACCCTAGAGAGTCCAAGGTCCGTTCCTTAAACTTCCCTCATTCAACTCGGCCCCGGCCGTGCAGAGGTTGCCCCATACGACACCGTATCCCCTGCTTGTTCTTTTGTGCAGGGCTTGAGAATCATACTTCCAAAAACTCACCCTAAACCCTAAACCCCAAACCCCAAACCCTAAACCCTAAACCCTAAACCCCAAACCAACCCCCCTCCTGAGGCTTGAGGTTGGCATACTTTCTGGTGTCATCTGCGCCGCAAACTGCCACGACCTGACAGGGAGGGATGTACTTGGAGGTTCTTAGGGTTTAGGGTTTAGGGTTTGGGGTTTAGGGTTTAGGGTTTAGGGTTTAGGGTTGAGGGTTTAGGGTGAGCCTCATGGGTACTTAGAAGTAGGGCTATGAGCGGTGCAACTATGGTTGTAACCTTGTTTGTGGTACTTATGTTTTTCTAACCTGATTTAGGGTGTTTATAAGTAGGATTATAAGTAGGGGAACTCGGGTCTGAGGCTGTTTAGGGCTCTTTGCTGCTTCTCTAGCGTTTGAGGATTGTTTGCTGCAGGGATTTAGAACAAAGTGTTTTGGGCTGCTTTGCGCGTCGGCACACTCATTCGAATGGACTCTCGTTGCTTGAAGGTTCATGGGTAGCTACAAGTCGGGTTAGAAGTAGGGTAAGTACAGTAAGAACAGGCGAGAGCCTGACTTAGGGTACTTATGTCCCTAACGTATCACTACCCATGAACCCCCCAAACCCTAAACCCTAAACCCTAAACCCTAAACCCTAAACCCTAATGCAAATCCGAAACCCCGCAAGTCGATGCAAGCGACTGAGGGTCAGGCCCTCACGCGCGGCGCAGCCTTCGAGCTGAGGCCTGTCTCCTCGGAGAGCTTCATGCAAACGCTGAGGCCTAAACCCTAAACCCTAAGACCTAAACCCTAAACCCTAAACCCTAAACCCTAAACCCTAAACCCTAAACCCTAAACCCTAAACCCTAAACCCTAAACCCTAACCCTAAACCCTGATCCGAACCCCACAATAACAAAAGCATCGGAAACAGCCGCAAGGCATCAAGGGTCCTCAATGAGAGCTTTCCGCAAGCTGTCCACCACCTCTCCCAGCACAAGGGCACTGAGGGACGTTCGGGGGGTGTAGGGTTTAGGGTTTAGGTTTAGGGTTTAGGGTTTAGGGTTTAGGGTTTAGGGTTTAGGGTTTAGGGTTTAGGGTTTTGTTACCCTTTTCGCAGGTCATTACTATAAAGTCCGTTTTAGGCACAAGGGTGTTACAAGAAGTATGTGTAGGCTATGGGTTCTCAAGGTCTTTGGCCCAAAAGAGGGGAAGGGTTGGATAACCGCACAGGGACCCTGAATCTTATTCCCCTATATAACCCCCGTAACCCAAGTAGCCCCCAAATGACCCCTGAAGAACCCCTAAGGTCCCTTCTACTTTAGTCCCTTGGGTTTCAAGCCGGGGCATGACGAACACCAGGAAGAAGTCCTATCTCCAAGGCCTATCAGACAACTATCTTGGGGCCTCCTATGAGAAGGACTTGTACTCCTTGAATTTGGCGTACATCCCTAAACCCTAAACCCTAAACCCTAAACCCTAAACCCTAAACCCTAAACCCTAAACCCTAAACCCTAAACCCTAACCCACCTTTCGAGGCAGTAGGGACTCCCGGCCTCCAGCTCCTTGGTTGACTCCTGGCGTAGGGCCCAGGGCGACACCTCCAAAATTGCACGGAATGCCTCCCTCTGCTACGTCCTAGGGTTTAGGGTTTAGGGTTTAGGGTTTAGGGTTTAGGGTTTAGGGTTTAGGGTTCATGGTTTAGGGGGGTTTAGGGTTTAGGGTTTCGGGCTTCTGCCATGGTGTGACTACGGATTCTCGGGTGTATCTCTCTCTCTTCCTTCCTGTGCTTTCTTTTCCCTCTTTGGGGGAGGCGCTATAAACAAACTATTTGTTTTTAAACTCCTGGGTCTATGAGACTACGGCCCCACCTTCCCAACGGATATTTCCGCAAACAGGGGTTTCCCCCGATAACATACCCCAAATGACAATACTCCTCATTCCATAGTTCCAACAGGGGAGCTCGGAAAAGTTCATCGGTTGCGTGCGCGCATAGGGCCCCAAAATCCATGGTCATCTCGGTGCTTAGGGTCTTGGGTTAGGGTTTAGGGTTTAGGGTTTAGGGTTTAGGGTTTAGGGTTTAGGGTTTAGGGTTTAGGGTTTAGGGTTTAGGGTTTAGGGTTTAGGGTTTAGGGTTTAGGGTTTAGGGTTTAGGGTTTAGGGTTTAGGGTTTAGGGTATGCTCCGGGCACATGCATTTCAAGTCGCGAACCATGACCCTCTCGGCCATTCTTCCCTAGCCGTGCTCTCCGGAGAGCACGTACATAAGCCGGAAGGCATCACCCTAAACCCTAAACCCTAAACCCTAAACCCTAAACCCTAAACCCTAAACCTTGGGGTGCTCTTGTGGAGTGGGCTGCTCGTGGAGTGCTTCTCGGGTGCTGTGGGAACAGTGCGAAAATCCTCTCTGATGTGGTCTTACACTGGCCCCAGGTTCACCCGTAAGCCCTAAACCCTAAACCTTAGACCCGAAATTGCCCTAAACCCTAAACACTAAACCCTAAACCCCAAACCCTAAACCCTTAACCCACTGTCATTCCTCACCTCCAGGAGCGTCTCTGTCTGTACGGCAGCGCGGGCAGCTGCCAGACGAAAGTCGGGGGACCTGGACTCATAGGGTTTAGGGTTTAGGGTTTAGGGTTCAGGGCCTAATTCCGATTCATTAAGGATGATTCAGGCTCAGGGTTGAGAGTTGTGGTGTTCTCGGCTTGGGGATTCAGGGCCCAATCAGAACCAAGGAACAAGCCCCCAGAAAACTCAACTATCATAGGCGTTGATGCTATGAATTGCGGCAAACTCCTGCGGCATAGGCAGTTCTCTAACTGGGGGTCCCTCCGTGGGTCCCATACATAGCACGGCACCCGGAAAAAGGCCCCAAAAGGAAACCCTGCATGTGCGATGGCTCCTGGCAAGCTATCGTACGCGCACTGCGCTGTAATCCCTAAACCCTAAACCCTAAACCCTCAGCCCTGAGCCCTAAACCCTAAACCCTAAACCCTAAACCCTAAACCCTAAACCCTAAACCAGGCGGCCGGGCAGCAACTCCCCGCCCTTCATCGGCGCCAACCATCCTTTTGGTGGGCGAGACATCAACATCTCTTCAAGGTTTGGCAGCCAGACATTGAATAGGGTTAACCCTAAACCCTAAACCCCAACCCTAAACCCTAAACCCTAAACCCTAAACCCTAAACCCTAAACCCTAAACCCTAAACCCTAAACCCTAAGCCCTCCCTGCGGGCTCTCTTCTAACGTGGCCCCTGCTTTTTTGATGGTGCCGGACGGTTGAAACCTGGGACCTCTGACCTGAGCCCGAAGCCCTCAAACCACAAACCCTGAGCTCAAAGTCGTTACTAGTTAATGGCCGGGATAGTATTAAAATGCTAAATTTATTTTATATTCCCTATTGGGTTTAAGTACCCTTAAAGATGTAACATGTTACCCAACTATGACAAAGTTTAACCCTCAACTGTTCAACCCGAGACATAAGCCTTAACCCTCAACTGTTCAACCCGAATCATAAGCCTTTACCCTCAACTGTTCAACCCGAAACAGAAGCTTTGACCCATCACCGATGTAAAATATGTGCTTTATATCCGTATGCCTACCAAAGCGGGCCACGCAAGGACAAGCTGCTGGCACACGGACGTTATCATCGTGCGGGCATGGATTCTCGGGCCATTCGCACGCATTGGCAACACGGACGCCATTATCGTGCGGGCACGCATGCTTACAAGGGAGAGTTTCTGGGAATCCCAGAGGATGTATCTACTGCGATTCCTATTCATATTGAATATGGGATTCCTACTAATGTTGAATATGACTCCTATTCATTTTCAAAGGAGTCTCATGAATTTCCAAAAAACTCTTAGAATCCTTTTTTGAATTAATAGGAATCATACTGCATAGTATGAAAATTACTAGGAGTCATATTCAAAGTACTAGGGTCCCAGAAAATAAACACCTCCATGTTAAACCAAATGGGGGGGAGGTGGGGGCTGCATGCTGAGTTCGCCCCAACATGCAGGGGCCATTCGCACGCATTGGTAACACAGACGTTCGCATCGTGTGGGCATGGATTCTCTGGCCATTCGTACGCACTGGTAACACGGACGTTATGTTGGCACCGCCACGGGGAGGGGTGTCTTTGTTTGAACAAGACCGAGGATTCGACGAGAGCAAGGTGCAAATTGCATGATCAAAACGCACACACACGCGCGCGCGCGCCCGTTTGCGTTTTGGTCTTTATCGCAGACATGACCCAAAGGCAACCATGTACCGGTTCGTTCGAAGCGAAAAGAACGTGAAGTGTGTTTCGTACCACGCCTGCCACGCTTTTCGACGGATCCTACAAGTACAGCTCTCTGGGAAGAGAGTACGAAGCAAGTGTCGTGCAGAAAACACACGTTGGAAGTGAACCCGTGTGCTAAACCCTATTTTGAATTCTAATACTGTAATATGACTTAATACAATGAAGTACAGTAGCCATATAATGACATAATACCTTTGGGAGTCTGGGAGCGACGTGCTTACGGAAGTTTGCAGTCACACATTGCAGCTTACGGCACGCCTGCTAAGGTATCGTAGCCAGCACGCTCCAATCGCGCGACGGCCTCAAAAAGCAGGACAGGTCGAACACTCTCGACATGGAGGCCATGAAGGAGCGAGGTGGGGTTTAGGGTTTAGGGTTTAGGGTTTAGGGTTCAGGGTTCAGGGTTTCGGGTTGAGGGCTTGGGGTTTAGGGTTTAGGGTGTCTGGAAGGTGCTCCCCGTGACGGCTTCGGAAGGGATGCGTAACGAACGTTGCAAAAACCGCGCAAGATGCAACATGCCAAGCCCTTCGCCTGAAACCTCAACTATAATTCCTTCCCCAAGAATGCAACACCTAGCTTTACGTAAGTCATGACTACCAGAAGTTCATAACCTTGTTTAGGGCACTTTAGAACTAGCCCTACTTACCATTACCCACGAACCTCCCAGTATGGCCCTTTGAGGATTCTTAGGCAAGCTGCACAAAACGTGGGCTGGGTTCTTGGCAGTGGTCGGGGGGAACCCAGGCCCGCCCCTTTTGTCTATACAGGGCGCGAGTTGTTCCTCCTGGAACTGTTAGGACCTTAAGGTGAGTCAGCTACCAGGGTTCACATGTGAGGAGAATTGAAGACATTTCCAGTTCAGAGCAACCTGCCCCGGTTTTTTTGGGGGCTATTGGGTAAAATAATCGCTGCAGCGTGACCACTCTGAGCTTATAGCTGATGACTGCACGAGCAGCGTCGGGAGCCTTCCGGATTCTACCGGTGTAATCCCGACCGTGGGAAATGTCTTCAAAGTGACGCCATGGCGAGGCTTCCGTAAGAGGCCCCGCAAAGGCGACCAAAACAGTTTCGTGGGCCCAGAGCGGCAAAGTGCAGGTAGGACAGGTAACCTCAGCCCGACGCGTTGTCAGACGTCACCTCTCTTTTAAGACCCGGCTGTAAACCCTAAACCCTAAACCCTAAACCCTAAACCTTAAACCCCTAAAAAGCCCTCACCCCATGGAGCAAGAACCTGCCCTCGGATCTGTTCGCGCTGGGAGGGAAGCAGAGGCCCCTTAGGCCCTGGAAAAGTAAACCCTGGCAAATACAGGCCACGATCCTGCCCCGCCACTTCAGCAGGGGGCAGAGTGAAGTCTGTAAAGGGAGCCGGCTGAGGTGCTTTCGTCACGAGCTCAAGTCGAGGCTCCCACTACTATAGGGGACCTTGGGGATATAGACCCTCTGAGTAAGGTCCCTGTTTAAGAGAGCCAGAAGAGGGTTCAGAAGGGGTACCCTTTGAAGGGTCCCCCTTATCCTACCTATGAACTACTGAACCCTGTTACGAGCTAACCCTGCGCTAAGTCCTCACAGAGAGCGCGGTGACCCAAGAATTGAATTGACCGGGCGGTTTTAGGGTTTAGGGTTTGTGGTTTCGGGTGTTTCTGACTGTGAGTTCAGGTGCATCTTTTCTTCAAAAAAGTGGTAGTTTCTGGTTTCGAAAGTCGTGCTTTGGAGGCTTCTATAATACGCATTGCAGCATTGCTGCTCTCGTGTTCGGGTGTATGGGTAGGGCTTTCATGGCTCGTACATGAAAGTTTCCCGTTTTAAGGAGATAATTACCCATGAATGCCACGCTAGCGGCACAACTAGTAGCCCCTCAGCCAGCCAAATTGGTCGAAGGGTGGGTTGGGGATCTCGCCATGTTGTGGCAGACTCTAGATTGTCTTCCATCCAAAAATACCCGCTAAAACCCTACGAGGGGTCCCCAGTATCTTGTGTCATCCCCACCAGGCCCCGCAGGCCGCGCGGTCTCCGTGTGCCTGCGGAGCCACACATCTGGGTCGTTCGATCCCCCTTGCAAAGCTTGCGGGCACAACCGGTGTGACGGTCAAACTGTGGGTGCCAGGGTTTAGGGTTATAGGGTATAGGGTATAGGGTTTAGGGTTTAGGGTTTCGGGTTTAGGGTCTAGGGTGTTGCAGGGACGTTCTGGGGTAGGGTTGGGGGGCCCTATTTAGAAGTCTTCGTGGCCTTATAAGGATGATATAGGGGGATTTAAGGGGGATAGAAAAACAATCGTTCAAACCTGCCCCTGCTTTCGGTGTATCAGTTGAGGGTGTTTAGGGTTTAGGGTTTAGGGTTTAGGGTTTAGTCTTCTTGAGGGGGCCGCAACTAGCAGAGGGAGCTTCCGCTTTGACCGTCGCTCACCGGAGGCACATCGAAGCATCGCGTGATGAGTAGGAAGAGCCACCGTGTGCATTCAGCCAAGCAGACTCGCATATGGGCCCCAGGCATGGGTCTATGCTACATGACACACTGGGGCGTCTGAATGAGCACTGAGTATCCTAAACCCTAAACCCTAAACCCTAAACCCTGAACCCTGAACCCTGAACCCTGAACCCTAAACCCTAAACCCTAAACCCAAAACCCTGAACCCTAAACCTAAACTATCGAAACGGACGAGCGGAAAAGTACCGGAGAAAGGTTGGACTCGACCTCGGCAAAGGCCGAAGGTCCGAAGGTCGCCGTCGCAGGCTGACGTACTTCTTTTGGTCACTAGGGTTTAGGGTTTAGGGTTTAGGGTTTGGGGTTTAGGGTTTAGGGTTTAGGGTTCAGGGTTCAGGGTTCAGGGTTCAGGGTTTAGGGTTTAGGGTTTAGGGTTTAGGGTTTAGGGTTTAGGGTTTAGGGTTTAGGGTTTAGGGTTTAGGGCTACGCAAGGCGAACTGCGCGCGGTATAGCTTGACTCAAGGGTCACATGGTCTTGCACGATGTAGGTGTATGCGGGGCCGTTTGCCTCGAGTCTGTGGGCTGGAAAACTCTTTTTGAGTGCTCGGAGGCAAAACCAGGATTCAACGGCCGATGAATGCACGGGAGAGCCAGAGGGACTCTCTCACATCGAACGTACAGAATCCATTGGCTGCTGCCACCAGTATCCTTGTGGAGTGACGAACCTCTTGGGCCAGTAGACGGCACATTGCTCGAGTATGTTCTATCCGTAGAGTGATCGGGCTGTGTACACCGGCAAAGGTTTGCAGCACTCCGTGGGCATCAGCCTGTTATCCCGATTGAGTTCCGAGAAGGGCGCAGGGAGATGCAAAGTATGGTTTGGGGTTTAGGGTTTTTGGGTTTAGGTCTGAAGGAGGGTGAAGGGGGAGCGATCTGAAACTAAACAACTCGCCAAAGGAACTGCAGCACGTGCAGACCCCAGTCCCTACACGACGTGCTCTTCTGACATGTTCTTATTTTTACGGTTTAGGGTTTAGGGTTTCGAGAGATTCCTCAAGGTTGTCATCCTGAGGGCGGGGTTTCGGGTGTAGGTTCAGGGCCCTAAACCCAACCCAAAGCCCTAACCCTAAGACCCTAAACACGGTCCTAAACCCTAAACCCTAAACCCTAAACCCTAAACCCTAAACCCTAAACCCTAAACCCTAAACCCTAAACCCTAAACCCTAAACCCTAAACCCTAAACCCTAAACCTAAACGGTGCTCAATCCACACCCGGAGATGGAACCCATGAGATCGCGAGCCCTGTTTAAAGAACCCCTTTCGTCCTCCAGGAATATCGATGTTCTGAGAGCCCCTGTAGGGGCCACCATGCTACGGGTGCCAACCCTGAAACCCTTCATTCTGGTTTAGGGTTTAGGGTTTAGGGTTTAGGGTTTAGGCGGTTTAGGGTTTAGGGTTTAGGGCTTAGTGGAACTGAGGGTCCGGGGAACGCAGGGCTTAGCTTGAAGAAGCCAAACAAGCCTTGGTCTTGAGGCGCTTCTCGGGGGAACTCAGTGTGTGTGTTCTTCAACACCACCATGCGTTGCGAAAGTGACAGTCTGATATCAAAATCGGCTAGAGCAAGTCAAATCTTCTCCACACCCCCGAGGAACTAGCAAGGAAGCCATTGCGCCAACCAGGCCACCGGGTGTTGTTTGGGGTCTTCGGGTCACCAGGGTCCACCCTCAAGCCTACACTCTGCAAGCCCTAAAAGGGCCCTACAATACCCTGCAAACCCGATGATAAATCCGGTCCAAAAACCCCTATAGGGCCCTAGGAAGCCTGAAAAGGAACCCTCTCAAGCTCTCCAATCCCTGTCTTTGAGCCCCCTAAACCGCCCCTTTCTGGACTCCTTGTTAGCTCCTGTGAGCGCAGCGAGCATGCACAGTACGGCCGTGTGTGGCCATCCACGTCAACGTGGCAAGGACCCCAATCGCCTGAGAGACTCAGGAGGCAACGTTGCGACATGTTTTTTTTGGTGGAGGGAGAGTTATACGGCTATACGGATAGCTCTGATTGATAAGCCCTTCACCCTAAACTCTACAAAGCCTGTTTTTGTTGACTGAGAAGCCCTTAAATTCTACAAACCCTAAGTTAGAAGTTAGAAGATTCAGTTGTTTAGGTTCTACAAACCCTAAGTTAGAAGTTAGAAGATTCAGTGGTTCAGGTTCAGAGGGCCATGCTCGGCGGTTGCCTCAGAGTTCTGAGCGCCCCGGCACAATGCAGGCCTCCGGATCACACCTTCAGAGGCGCAGTCAGGGCATCGGTTGCTAAGGGGGCCCAACGGGCCCTGATTGTGCTCATTGCTCATAGGCCCTGAAGGCCTTAAACCCTAAACCCTAAACCCTCAACTCTGAACCCTAACCCCAAACCCCAAACCCCAAACCCTAAATCCACACCATGATGGGGGCAGCAAGGGACCGAACGCAAGGCAAAAGGAAACTATAGTTTCCCGACTTCTAACCCCTCTTATTAGTACCCATGAACCTTCCAAGTAGCCCTAAACCCTAAACCCTAAACCCTAAACCCTAAACCCTAAACCCGAAACCCTAAACCCTAAACCCTAAACCCTAAACCCTAAACCCGAAACCCGAAACCCTAAACCCCAAACCCTGGGTCCCGGCCTGAAACTTGCCCGAGGGCAAGAGGTGCTGCTTCTGGGAGTTCCCATTTAAACATTGAACCTCAGACCAAAGGGCACGCGGATCCTCTAGGGTTTAGGTAGGGTTTAGGCTTAGGATTTAGGGTTTAGGGTTTAAGGTTTAGGGTTTAGGCTTTAGGGTTTAGGGTTTAGGGGTTAGGGGTTAGGGGTTTGGGGTTTGGGATTTAATCTCCACACA